ATCGAGGAATGTGATTAAAATCACTCTAACGCGAAGTAAATTTTTTTCTATATCTATTCGAATTTTGAATTCAAAGATCATTTTACGAAGAGATGGTCAATATATTTAAATAAATAACGAAAGTAAAAATAAATTTGATTGTTACATACCGTAAAGTTTTTTTAATTAATATTTTTCTTTTAATTAACTTCTCGTGGTCGTGCATTTTGCGATACGACCGTCACTCGTATATTCGAACCGTACGAAATATTTGTCGGGGACGATATCCGACTATGGAAGGAGTTTTCTTCCTTCCTGATCTCTGGTCAAAATGACCAGATTGTATGGCCGGGAGCAATGAAAGGTATGTCCAATCTGGCCCACCGAAGGACTAAATACGACGAGGTAAGTGGTCGATATTGGCCACTTTGATGGAGTACCTAAGTAAGGTGCTGTACGAAGTATACTTTAATTTCTTTTGATGTGTTACAATTCGGGTGGGTTATGCTTTTATATACATACATTCTCGCATATGTGCGAGAGTGAAACCCCTATTAAATCCCGCGGTTGCGTTAAACTCCAAGTCAAACCCCTAAAAAATCGCGTCGCGGTTAATTAAAGATTTATCGATTCATTATGTTGAAATACGGGTAGGTAGGTCTATAAATCGGAATACGGGTCGGTAATGCAATAATAATAATTGTAATTATTGTAAAGAAAAGAGGACCGCCGATCGAAATTGGCGGGGGTGGTGGAGGGCCTCATATTTTTGCACTGCACTTTCAATGTAAACACACTACCGTGAAATTATCGATACGTAACATCGGCGTTACATTAGCATTTATTATATTCAATATTACAATTTTATTGGGCAATCTTGCTAATATAATACAATCAATCCAATATTAAATAATCATGTAGGTACAATATTAGTAGTATATTTGCATTTATTTTATGACCAATATTGATGTTATATTGGAGAAATATTGGCCAATTCACTGCCAATATAACCAATGTTTAACCAATGTTAGCTAATGAATTGTGCTTCTAGGGAGGCGCTTATACGCAAAGGCAAGGCCTATGCGATTAAGTGAAGGTTTAAAAAAATATATAAAGTAACTATTAAATTAGTTATCGAAAAAATGTAACTGAGTTAAGTTACAGTTACAGATGGAGAAAAAGTAACGAAGTTAAGTTAGAGTTGCCAAAAAGAAGTAACTGTAACTGTAACTTCGTTACAAGTAAGGAATTACTTCTCAACCTTGATAATATGCAACAGTGTTTATTAATGTAATTAATAACGCTTAATTCTACTCAGCCCCTCGTTATACAACCTCGTTTTCATTTTTATTAAACCTACGTAAATATAATTCAATCGCAATAAAAGGATGCGAAGGTCTTCGTAAAATATAAAAGCTTCCCTAAGCAATAACGAAGAAATGAATCTCAAGTCAATGAGACAAGTCTGTCGAGTATTCTGCTAACCTTTAGAAATTTATCTTTTCCATCGACTCCTGTATTTTTTTTATTTAAGTATATGGCAAAGATATTTTGGGGAAGAAAATAAACTGCCAGTTCAGAGTTCATAAGTCAGTTTCTTCGTTTCTAAAGATTAAGTCAGCAGTAATGTCGGTGGTGATATCAGAACCGTTTTATGGCAACCGCGTCTCTTTTAAATAATACAAAATAATAAATAAAAATACTATTTCCTAAGAATCTTCAACGTATCACTCAGCTTTAATCTTTTCTCGGAGACTTTGTTGGAAAAACTCGATCAACTTATCGCTCTTGCGGTCTCGTTCCCTGTTGCACTGAAATAGATCATCAATCAAATAATCTCTACGAACGATCGCCTCTTTTCCGTACAGGCTACATTGAGTCAGTTACGAAATCAAATGTTTTTTATGCAACAAATCTTTCCCGCGAAGACAGTTCGAAATGCAACAGTTAACAATATGACAGTTTAATTCATGAAGTTGCCAGGCCGAGTTTCTACAATTTACTTTCGGTATTCTCGTCGTATACGATCGCTGGATTCGTGACTGCCCATTTCTCCTTGGCGGCCTGCTGCTCCTTCCCCGGCCGATCCTTGAGATTCTGTATGCCGGCGTAATGCTCCTCGATTTCGCGCAAGGTTCTACCCTCGGTCTCGGGTAATATCACGTACAGAAGGCATAAGCCGAGGAGGTTGATCAGCGAGTAGAAGAAAAACGTGCCGGGCAGTGACATGCTGTTCATCATGTAGAGGAAAGTCTTGTTGGCGATTGATGCCATGATGTAGGCGATCATACCGGCCGCGCCGGTTGCGCTGCTGCGTACCTGATGACGAAGTCGAGATGGTTTGAAATCAAGAAATGGCGTAAAATTGAGATGACATTATTTAGACGAGTCAGATGTTAAAAACGCTGAAATACTAAAAGAGAGGTATCGCGCGGAACGAACCTTCACGGGAAACACCTCGCCCGCGAGGATCCAAGGCAGCGTCCTGATGCCGAGGTTCGCCGTGAATGCTCCGCCTATCATGAGAGTAGTCGGTATCCAGCTGTATTTGATCCCGTCCAAGTAACCCATTTCATTGAGATAACCGTAGATAGCGGTAATGAGGAAGCATAAACCAGTACCGCCGACCGATACGAAGGTCAGCTTGCGTTTTCCTACGAGGTGGATCGTCAGCACGCAAATTATAATGCCGATTAGCTGAGCCACGCCCAGGAACACCGTGGCCGTGTACTTGTCGATCGGCGCGTTCAGTTTGGCGAATATCACGACGGCGAAGGTCTGCAGGGTCGTGACTCCACCGAAGCTGCTGATGAAGAAGGCCGAGCTAACCAGAATGAAGGGCAAGTAGAAGGTCCGCTTCGTGTAGGACTTCCAGACCTTCTCCTTGTCAGCGTCGACGTCATCGGTCGGCTTCCGAATCGCCTCGCAGAGCGCCTTAAATTCATTTTGCACTTGCGACGGACCCACCCAGCCCCGCAACCAGCAGAGAGCGCGTTCCGATTCCTTTAATCGACCCTTGACTGAAAAGAAAGAACCGAGTTTCTGTGTTATCGAAAACTTAAAGTTTCTAATATCAAATTAGACCAAGAATACAGGATTCTTGTGACTCGTTACTTTCGCTAAAAAACTAAAAAAAAGTTTTAGTTTATCCAAAGTAATAGATTCGAGTGACGATGATTTATCGAACCGTTAAAATATTAATTACATAATTATATGACTCTAACATTTGAGGGGAGAGATAAATGGCAATTTGCTAATATTTATAAGCGAGTAACTTAAGAAAAGAAAATTCAACAGCTGGACAAATTTGTTAATGGGTAAATAATACGAATGATCACCCACCGGCGAGCCAGTGCGGGCTCTCGGGCACCAAGCAGAGAGCGAAGAAGCAAAGAATCGGATAAATCAGATTGATCAACGCCACCGTTCTCCAGTGGACCAAACTGCCGCTCAACATCTGCGTGAAGACACCCAGGATCACCGCCATCGAGGACGTCGCGGAGAGCATGCCGCGTAGGTAGGGCTGCGTCACCTCGGCGACGTAAGTTATGACCGGGCCCTCGAGGAGACCGCCCGTCAGGCCCGTCATCGCGAGCGCCGCGAGCAACATCGCGGGATTGCTGGCGTAGTAAAATATCAGCCAGGCCATCACGAATGGTATATTCGCCAGCATCATCGTCCGTTTCCTGCCAAGGTACTGCGACAGCGGCCCGCTCGCCAGACAGCCGATCGGCACGAGAAATAAATTTAAACTACCTGGAAGAGGATAGATTAATAGTGGAAACATTGCAGATGATGTTATAAAATCCTTATTAATATAATAAGTAAAGGTTATTTCGTAAAATTTAGTTAAACTATAAATGCACATAATAAATTTAAATGTTAATATTGAGATAATTTGACGAATATTGAGATAATGTGTAAACTAATGTCGTAACTTTTTGCTATAAAATTTAATTCGTACTGACGTAAATTGCAATAGACAGTTTTATAAGATAGAGGCGAGAGGAAACCTCTCCTTGGCAGATGGGAGAAAAATTCCGTTTGCATTTTAATTCTATTCGTGGGTTAAAGCAAAAATTCTTTATTGGATGCCTTCAGCTCCTTATATTTATAAATAGCTCTTTACTGATCCATGTCAATTCCTCCATCGTGACTTTGATGTCCGCATCTTCCTTCTGCAGTGCTGGAATAAGGATAGTTGAGAATCCCAAGGTTGTACCAAAAGTAATTAGGAGTAAATTTTTAGCGCCAACCGCGCAACACTGCGGTACTGCTTGTCGAAGTTTGGAAATATATGCTTCCTCATCCGTGACTGATGTTTTGTCATCGTTTCTAAAATGCAGTAAAACAAATTATAACATATATTTTACTCTGAAAACTCGATTGAGTTCAATGCCTAATTTTTTTACTGTAGATATATTAATTGAACGCTAAACATTAATTATAACTATTAAATTAATAAATATGGAAATCTCTTCCATATACATTAAATAAGTAATAATTGTCGCGTACATTTCTTATATTTTTGTAACATATCTGTTTCTCGTGCTAAATATTTTTATAATTATTTTTTTTAATTCTCCTTAAAGTGCCAATTTGAGCGTTAAAGCACACATAATAGTTAATGGATCTTGATAACAGACAAAAAGAAATTATTATCTAAAAATTCGAGCAAGATTCTATTGTTATCACTTTATACACAGAGTAAATTTCGAAATATAAAATGTACATTGTAAAATGTACATTAATAGAAGATATATCTTAGTTCTTCTAATAAATGACTAGTCAAAATGATTACCGCGCGAGGCCAAGGAGGTCTTCGTAATAATAGATTCGGTTTTTTGCAAGAAGATCAATGATCGCTAAAAGAACATAATAATCGTATTGATTTATAAAAAGACCCTCTAATTTTGCAAATATTAATTCTATCGTGTCATTTATCACTTTGCATTAAATATATTAACGCACGTTTACTATATCCCATTTTCGATGGAAATAGTCAGTTCTTTATCTAAAAATAACATCCTCTAGAATTTGTTGAGCTATTTGACGCTGTAGGCCTTGGAGCCTGCTGGACACATCTTTAAATGTACGTGTGTACTACATTGAACTTTCAATCAGTCGAATAAAAGGTCTTAAATGGACTGCAGACAAGGTCGATGGAGTCCCACAGATCCGTGATGCCGAGTAAATTTATTTACAGGACAATTAAACCACATCCATAATTAAATGGACGGGGAAGAAGGAAAATTAACTTATTGCAAATACTATCATTCAAATATAATGTTTACTTTAAGACTGTTGTTGAATCTAGTAAAACACACGTGTATGTATCTATGAATTATTTTAGGAGAAACATCACTTTTATTAACAATATAAATATAAATGAGACAGTCACGCGCAATACACAGTCGATATAAAATAGAAGTAGGATACTTGTGCACAGGAAAGTATACTCGGGTTCAATGAAACGCAATTCTTTCACCTCGTTAAAGCATAATCGACGCTCCATTTACAAAACCTTTCACTTGGCGTAATCACTTTGCTTTCGGCAATCTCTCCGGCGAAGATTATATGCCAATAGCTCACAATATTTCTTTAAGTCACGTATTAAAAGAAAAATCTGAACAACTTTATGAGATATTTCTATACGAATTTGTAGCACTTGGAAGTATCTCTAATTTTTTTGTAAAAAAATCGATCTTGAATCTGCGATCGGTCGTAGACAAGAAACAACTGGCAGGCGTAATTTTATGCTAATTCTCTTAAGTTAATTTACTTGATTCCGTAAATTATATATCATTCTCTTGCGTGCAACATTTATCTGTCATATAAATACTCGTTTATTGCGATTAGGTTTGACATAACCACTTTTGTGATCGAGGATTCCCGTAAATAAATTAGAAATGAAAAGCTCGCCAATAATTCTTTCGCTGGAGGAGACATCATGATTTTTCTCTCCATTTTATTTATTATTTTATGGAGAAACCGGCGTCTGGAATCTGCATAAAATATAAATTTATAATATCAAAAGATATTCACGAATTGAAATAACAGTACGGAGTATCCCTGAAATTTATACATTAAAAAGTATAAAAAAGAGGGGGGGAATGCGTTCACCGTAAGGATTTGACGAGATTAAAGTAAATTCCGTGAATCCCGTAAGAACGTCCGCGAGGAGAGAAAGAGAGAAAGAACCGGTTTGCGATGATCCACATATGTTGCATTGCGCAAACGTGCACGAACGTGCACAATTACATAAGCGCAATGACGGTTGAGGCACCTTTTGTGTTGAATCGTGCCGGCTTAAAATCGCTCGTGCAACGAGCGTTACGCGAAACGCCGGCGAACAATGCGAACGATTAGTATTGAATGAGTGAGTTATTTACGCGAGGTCGCGGTTAGGCGAATGTAGATATATTTTTTAACGTCTCTCCGTGTATCTACTCCCGTGGATTATTTATCTCGCATTTTCCACGCATTTTCTGCCCGCGGTAAATCCACGCTCGCGAATAATGCGTTAGATTAGCTTTAGGCGAAGTGTGTCGCTCGCTAAGTACGTGCCGTTCTCTTATTTTGAATGAAACGAGCCCAGCGATGATGTAACATCTCCAATCATGTAACGCAATCCCGATTTTTTACCCGTTCGGGCGTGTAAACGTATTGGTTATTCTTTCTCACGCGTACTCTCGCATACTTTTCACGCTTACCGATGGGGTCCGTGAGGTATACGAGGATGCGTGCGGTATTTACAGAATGCATCCGAGATGAACGAAGCGTATTTTCGTAGAATAATTAGATCGCTCGTTATCTTCCTTGGCGACTTTTTAATTCTCGACATCAACCCCGCGATTTTAATTATTATTTCGCTTCGATCATCTCGAGCTTAAATTCTGTCTCTTTTCGAAAGTGGACACGGGGTTTATGGTAAATACTCGTCATTTGAATTACGAAACTCCTGATTGCACGCTACGCTTATCGAGGGGCTCAATGTTAATCCGCACTTGGCAATATTTAGCAATCGATCAAAGCCTGATGTGATTTTAATTATGCATGAAATATGCCAACCGAATGTCCTTCGCGCGCGCGTAGTCATTGATTTTGCTACCATTCCACTTTTGTGGGACGTAAATTCCCCTTAAGGCATTAATTACGGAAGGAAATCAGATTTTATCAAGAGATTAGCTTAAGGCTCGCCGCGAGTCGCTCGAGTCTCGGCAAATAACTCGCCATTATTTTGTCGTAAAAAGAAACATCAGGATGTAACAGAACGTTTCTATTCGAAGCTCATTATTTGAACGATCCTTCGTCCGGATGCTCCATTATTCAAATATTTGCGTAATGTCTACTTTAAAAAAACCCCCCCAGAAAAGTGTCTCTTTTATCTCGAAACGTTCGCGACGTCAGATAAAATCCGTAGCTCGCGTCATTTTATTAATTTGACCGACTTTCTTATATTTACAGAAATCCTACTGTATTGCGCACGTGCCACGCCTTTTTTTCCACTCATTCAGCGAGATTTCCGTGAGATTTTCAGTGAGAACCATCCGCGCCGAAGATTTATGTGAACATTCATAAAATATGCACGTGAGAAACGCGCGCGATGAATATTTCCCTCCGTGTTTTTCTTCCCACTGTTGTCTCGTGATCTTTCTATTTCTATTTGTACTGCAGTTTGTCGCGCGATGTCGGTTCTCAAATGCGAAGAAGTACCGTAAATATCATAGCCGAGTGAAGATTTTATCTTCGTCGATTAGCACCGTCATTACGCATTACACGTCGTTACGTGTCGCACAATGGTCGACGGCTAAGTCTGCAAAAGTGCAGTTTTCCGGGATATCTAAACGCGCCGGGTCAAGGTTTTTAACGACACGATACGTCAGCAATCGCGGCCCCGCCGTTTCGGAGACTTGCAATAAGACGGCTAAAGCGATTGCTGTATTAATCATATTTATGGTGAGATTGCTAAAGCGATTATTATATATTATATGAGATTTTCCGCTGCCATCTGATTGAATGCAAAGCCAGCTTTGTCTCGCAGGGAGATCCGATTGACGCGCAGCATGTTAATTAATCGCAGCGCGCCAAGACGGCATTGATACAATGAGATTGTTGGTCAATGACCCATTGGCAAACAGCAGATTATAGTCTACTGTAAAGATGGTATCCACCTAATAGCGATAGGGCGTTAAGATTATTAATCTTGATCTCTAATGTGAAGTTAATGTTTTTTTTATCGCCGGTACATCGCCCGAGAGGGAGGGAGAGAGAGAGAGAGAATAAATTGATAAATAACACAAGTAAAAAATATCAAAATAAAAAGATATTTAACGCAAAAGACTTGGCGCTGTTAGACCAAATATGACGTCCATGCTGTCATAACATTAGTCTCTTGTACAATTTTCCTTTACGTTATACAAACGCAATCTATAAAAGACACTGTCTTATATTACCTAAGTTGAAATTTGAATCAAACGGAAAGAAACAAAAATGTCATTTGATTACTTTGCATTTGATTTATAAACCTGTTTTGAATTCTTCGCGGAGCTCGAAGCCACAAGAGTGTCCGTACGTTCGTACTCGAGAATTTGTATCAAATATGTCATGCGAGTAATCGCGACACACGTAATAATTTAGGCCTCGTGAAAAACGACGTGGCTCTTAGGGATGATGAAGTAACTGGCAATTCAATAATACCTCACTTCCTGCAATTTTCTTAATGTCTTGCAGTTTCACCTGAGTCTGCAAAACTTATATTCCCAGATGAGTTCATAGTACCATGTCTTTTTCTGATATAGTTAAAAGAACAAAGATAGGGAAACACGAGGTGCGTTTGTCACGAGCGTACAGCGTAAACTCACAATCAAACTCGGAACATGTCGGTGGTAAATTTTAATGAGCGGATGTAAAGTTAATTACTGTAAGGAGCTTACGAAATGCTCGTCATCTATTCCTCTTTTTTATTTACGTTACTCTATTTATTCTGCGTACGATTTTCGTTTTTTTATATACTATTTTATTAATCGCGATTAATTGCGCTTGATAGATAAAACTACTTAAAAATTATCTTTCAAATTAGTGAAACTAGAGACACAGCAGAGTGGACAATTGTATTCGCGTGACTAATGTTACATCACGACTGTGTAACGAATTACATTATAAATGGTCGATTTAACTCAACATATCAAATTTTGACGTGCTTTTACGCAAACGCGTCAAGCGAAAATGCGATGGTAAAGGCAATTTGTGTTGTTATTGGTCTTATTGCTACAGCACACTTAATCGTTTGACATAGCCTGAGAAACGATTGTACGGTTGGATACATTGGTCACGCGGAAGCTCGCAAAATTATGTCACGGGTCTTTTTTTTCTCGTAGCCCCCCTAAGGTTCTCCTGGAGACCAATTAGATGCGGCACCGAAACCTTGGATTTTGTACTATTAATTTTTTAGATCCGTTACTTCAAGGTCGATGCGTTTACGATCGGGAAATCATATGCGTGACTTGGCGCAGAGTCGTCGTGAAAGTCGGTAAACCACATTTTAAGTCTCCCGAGCTCTTGGTTTGTTTTCGTTTGCATATCATTAACGCCGAGTTCCTTTTATATATCCTGAATATTTGCATTCAAATTATTATATAATACAAATGAGATAAGATCTACGGCCGATTCAGTTTTAACTATGAATGTCAATCGGTTTATAACGGTAGGATACCTGGCATGTTAATTCTGACCGTTTGATCGCTGGAAATATACCGTTTAAGGAAAAACGCATATTGTAGATTGAATAGCAATTTTACAATTCTTCTATTAATTGAAAAGAACAAAAACGAGATTTTCCCGAAAGAATCTCACGATTACTGATATTTCTCGGAATCTTATACAACGTCTTTATGTAATTGACGGTTTGATATAAAAAAATGCTCTTTAAGCACGATATTATTCTAATTATTGCTTTATCGTTGAACATAGTTCTACAGGCTAGTTTTGCAAGGACGGTAAAAGAAAGAAAATTGCAAGTGCTATTCATAGAAATCTTATGTGAATTTGCCTGAGTAATAATAAGATTCCCTGCAAGTACAAATAGGCTAAAAATTTAACGTAGAATGAAGCTGAGCTTAGAATTGTTAAATTTTCGTTTCAAATACCAGTAAACTAAGTAAGTAAATGAAGCAATTAGAAATACTGGTCGCAACATGCAAGGTTGAAAATATGGAGGATGGAAATAAGTATGCAAGAATGAATGATTTAAGAACATATTGTAAACCAAGTCCACTTCTTGGCTGTAAGTTGAAGTTAATAAATTACTAATATGATTTCCCGTTTCTTTCGCGCGTATCTTTTTACGAATAAATTAATAAATTTAGATATTTTTCGGAGATTTAATTCTAAATACTTGCAGTTCTATTTTTAGAGAAAGATTTGCGAGAGATTCACTTCCACATTAACCTTGAAACATTTATAGATATTTATTATCGAGAGAATAATTTTCTATTTTTCAACATTCTTAAAAAAAACTTTAAATAAATAATGAGTAATTATAAATGAGCTCGGACGTATTTGCGTGTAAAGTTCAGTGCGTCGATATATTTATTTTACAATAACAAAATGTTCAAGATGTTATCCTGACAAATAGTGTTATACGTACGTTTTAGCTTTGCTTCGAAGCATAATTAGTGCAATAACAAGATTTAATTAAATCAAAACACTTTTTTATCTCACGTCCCGCGACTCTATGTAAGCGCTTAGCGATTGTATTCGAAAGTCACTACTTCGTGAAGCACTACTTGTGTGATCAAACTCATACAATTGTTGGAACGTGAACGTCAGAAGAAACAGCGGTCAAAAATAAGATAAAATGTGAGTCGGAAGTCGTTAAAATAAATAACATATTATGTCAAGAAGAGCAGTTGCGTAATTAAAAGGAGGATTGTAAAGAGCGCCGGCGAATAATCTCAAGTAAATAATGAAATTAATTTATAGCGGGTTTAAAGAAAGGATAATTTTCACCCGGAATATTCCGTGAATCGCCAGGCGTTAAATGCCAAGTACAAGAAAAAAAAACACAGGGATAAACGTACCTTTTTCCGTTCTCCACGGGCTGGGAAGCTGCCATTTCGGTCGGGCCTGCTCGTGGTTCAATTTTCCTGTCTTCGTGCATACCGATTCTCTTGCATATCGAAGGACGACGTGACCGATACGACGAAGATGGCCTTCTTTCGAAGGAAAACAATGTGCAATCAGATTATTGCGCGATCGTGAGGATGCGAAGCCGTAATTATCATCCTCCACCATTTATTCTCGGCGTACGATCGGTTGAAGCTAGGCTTTACGGGTTAATACGGTACGAGAGGAGATTCGCGAGAAGTTGTCGCAAGCGGATTTACTTTTACGACGAATCGTGAAAGCGGATGTCTGAGTTTAGCGAACCGATGCTTACGTTCGATCTAGTCTCGGCACGTCTTCGTATTTGCATAAAGTGATAAGCGTAGGATTTAAAAAAATGGAAGCGACAAAGAGAGAGAGATATATATATATAGACATCTCGCATCATGCTGGACGAGCAAATGCAAATGAGAAAAGGATCGACGGAAATTTATTCTGTGGACTTTTATAATCTTTGAAATAAAAAATTGACGTTAAGGACGTCGGTGATGTACAAGACTGTCAGCACGTGTGTGATTAATGCTATATTGATTACTTCATTGCGTTAAATTTACTTTACTTAATTATACGCGATTAAAGTAAATGACTCACGTGAAAAAGCTGATATGCAAAGTTCCCTCGCTATTCATTTATGATTTCTTTATGCAATTCAGAATGTGTTTTGTCTCAATAAATATTAAAAGGTAGCTTTTAAATGAGAAATGATTAAGAACGAGCGTTCCCTGTGCCAGTTCGCTCTGGATTCTCCTTAGATGGATAAACTTTTATTTTTCATTCAATTCCAAGCGGAACTTACTTTAATAGAACTTTAATTAAAGGCTTAGTCATTAGGAATTATTAAGTTTTGAAAAAAAGATGGTATCCAATCAAAGTTTTTGCGGAGAAAAGTTGACTACAGACCTCGTAAAAAAAGCCGCAAATGAAGTTTTTCAGCAACACCTTGCGTATGAGGCATCGATGAATACAGAAATTGGAAAAAAAAATTATGAATTGATGCAACAAGTTATCCAGCTTGAAAGGAATGAATTTCTCTCGATCAATTTCGATTCGGGTGTTCGTCACCAGATATTTTTTATTCGATGTAAGTCCCGTTGTGCTCACCTGGAGATTGCAGAAGCGATCGACCCGATCCTTCCGTCTTTTACTACGGAAAGTAGAAGATCAGCTTCACCTTAATTGAGACGGAAGCGGCTGCTTCGTAATGAAGTGATTTCTTCGGCAGATTGAAGCGCCTCGAGAAACAGAACTATTGCGGGTGTAAACGGAACTGTGTTACAGTTTTCTATTTTTGAAAATGAAGCGTCAACTTCATAGAGATTGAAATGACACCTGAAATTACACGTAACGATATCACGTTATTTGTTGGTAAAACAACCAACGGTTGGCCGGTAACGGCCAAGTAAATGATCCCAGTAAATGATGACTGCAGATATTTTCAATGGTTACGCAGCTAAACACAAACTGATATCCTTGCATGCATGCAATGCTCGCCATTACTTTTCGTTGCCTGCATTCGATATTTTCCGATTTATTTGCATGTTTTACTCCGGTCGCTTTATTTTCTCTTTCCTCGAATAGGATAAATTTGATATATATACTGCTATTGAGAAACTAGTATTGTTAAGAGAATTATATAATAAATAAGAACTTTCTTAAAAAATTAATCGACAATTGTGTCGTTTGCTTCTGCCATGAACGAAACAATCGGCTCGTGATTTAATCGTTAAACGAATCATTGAATTAGCAGCGAATTTTCAGTTTGTCGGGTATCGAACTCTGTCTTTAAATCTTTTACGATTTCGTGCAAAAAGTTTCCCAAACAAATGTCGCACTTTCTTCCTTTCCCCGCACATTCATTTGTCAATCTAAATCGCCATGCGAAACATCTCCGCAGCGGCTTGACGGCGAACTAAGTTAAAAGTGTTTTCCAATTTCTTCTTTCTCTTTCTCGGTGTCAGAAGCAAATCTCTCTTACATTATCGCAGCCAATCCTGGAGCGCGAGGGGGGAAAAAAAGGAAGAACGAAAAATACCATTTGCACACGAGAGTTGCGAGGCGACTTAGTGCTCTGTCGCGACAAGATCCGGAAGGAGGAATCACGTAGTAGAAAGCGTTAGAGAAATCGGGAGGAAGATTACCGGTTTACATTAGATCGGGGCACCGCGGCAGACTAAACGGCGCGCGACACGAAAGCCATGAGCTAGCTGTACTTTCGATTTTGAACTCCCTCCTTCGACACCTGCCTGCCTCCTGACAGAGGTTGTAGGCGAATAAGTACGTACACACGCGTATGTGTGACCTCTCTTCCTCCCTTCTCTCGCCTCAGTCATTTTGTCGTGATTACACCCGCGGCATAACGCGACCGAGAACCGTTAATACGATGGAGAACCGAGAGAGACAGCGGGACCGAGCGATCGCTGAAATTAAGGACGTTCACCAAGTCTTTTTGAATTATAAGAGGCGTTCGCGCAAAAGGGGATTTCGCCGGAGCTTTTAGATATACAGGAAAGTCCCCTGTTATAAGATAAGCTCCTGATATGAGATAGCAGGGTTTCCGCTAAGTTAGTAGGCATCCTTTGATTGTTCCACTATGAATTTATTGCTCTTGGAGTGAAATCAGTTTAGTGAAATTGATAAAAATGTATTGTTAGATCGTGTAATTTACGAAAAGAGTTTGCCGGCTGATAGTCGACATTTTTTAGTCAACTTGAAGTCAACTTTTTAAGTCGGAGATATTAATGGAACGAAAATACTAACACAAGTGCCTTAAGCACATAAGCTTTTAATTTAAAATTGATTTAAAATTTATATCTATTGATATATTTTTCTAAAAGACAATTCGCAATTACTATACGGATTTAAAATTAATCGATTACGATTCGATTACGACAATACCGATGCGAAATGGAACTAAAATACCGCTGTATGTCACGTATTGTATAATTTCCTGCAAATTGACGCCGGGTCTGAAATCTATTCCAGGAAACATTTTTGCATTATTTCTAGCGGCACTAATGAAAAATCGATCGCAGATAATATTTAAATTTCATCGACTATTTTTATATTTCCATTACCTCGTCTCTCGTTACTTTTCTTTTCTCTTCCCGTGCGATCTTACGTTTGGTCGTTATTCAAACTTATTGAATGCTGAATTTGTTATTCGTTTTTATATCTATCGGACATTGCACGTGTATAGATTTTGCTGGAATTGTTTTTCGAGTGCTCCAATTTCATTTTCATCATCGCGAGATTATCTTTCAGTGTCTATCGCAATGTGAACCAGTAATCGAAATGTGAACCCGTCGAAATTGCTTCTGTTAGACAGAGTATCTGCTTGCAACACCATGCAACACCATTTTTTTATAAATATTTATACATTCAGAGGGTTTAAATTTTCACTTAAAATCTGAAAATCTCGAGTTCTTGAAAATCTAGAAAAGTCTTAAAAATTTTTAGAACAATTTAACACGATTGATATCACTGTTTCATATTATGCGACATCATTAATTGACACGTGATACATGAAATTTGCACATGTAATGCATGTATGTACATATCTTAAGAATGCAATTCATTCGTTTAAGAATGCAACTCATTGTTTTCTACTGTAATATTTGCAAGCCCTATAGCTGCATAGCTCTACTGTGCATATTGTATATATTATTTAAAAAAATCTGTACTCTTTCTTTCTCTAGTATTATAATTTATTTATATACAATTATTGTTATACAATAATTGTATATAAATAAATTATAATACTAAAATATACAAATATTAATATTAAACAAATAGAAAATGTGATACAATACACTGTCGGGCTGGATCTTTTTGTGCCGAATAGTGTATTTCTTTGCATAAATTCATGTACATTTCTCACTTAGCGAACTGCTCGCCGTTTATTATTGGTCTTGAAACGCAGTCCCAAGGTAAAATAGTGCAAGTATCTAATTAATTCTATACGATAGCGACGTTAATAAGCATTTTACATAAAAGAATTATTGCGAAAAAAAGGCTGGAGTTTTATATAAAGGATTTATTTTAAACTGACATTTCTCCTAATTAGTTGTATGAATAATTAATTCGAATATAATTGACGAGACTTCCATCGCTGTCGCAGTCAGATAAAGTGGGACGACACTTGTCGCTGCGTTGAAAATACTCAGAAAATTCGTTGCGTCAACTCCAGACCGTAATGATACTGAGAGTAACGTATTAACAACGCATTACACAATCTAATCATTCAATTAGCGGTTGCAACTAATCACAAGAGGAAAGTTTGCTTGAAGAGAAGATCCGAAGAGAGTGTAAATTGCGCAATTCTTCAATATCGCGGCGCGTACCTTCCCTTTAACTATTTACACTTGCGCGGTACCGAGAACTATCGAAAGAATCCCAAATCATTCGACGATGAGACAGATCATTCCGGAAAAGATGTCATAATAAATGTAACGAGACATAAATATAAAATGAGATGAAACGAATCCGGGTGTAGTAAATACCTACGGCAATTTATGAAGAATAATATATTTCGCTCTGTACTGTGCATACAATCTCGACGTAATCGCATTAATTAAATAAATATAAAATCACATAGATTTCATTTACATATAATCGCTAGCGAGCCAATAACCGTTTCATTGAGAATATATTTTGTTATAATACAGGATGCTCGACAAATCGCTGGAAGATCGTGGCGATAATGTTTCAATAATCGCGGTTAATTCTCACAAAGCACCCTAACTAGCATAGAACATTAGTTAAATATACTTTATTTTTTTCTAAAGTTAGGTAATCTTTTAAAGTTAATGCAATCAATTCAATTAAAAAAAATTGATCGTACATCTTTCCTTTCTTTCCGAAGTGTGCTGCGATTTATCAAACACGCAAATCGCTCTCTTTTCTTGCTTCATTTTCGATTGGTACAGACGAATCAATGTTTCGCAATGCAATATCTTGTGATGTAGAAAGTTGCTTGAGAAAAATACATAGTACGATCATGTCGCTATCTTTCTCTCTCTCTTTGATGGCTCGATTTTCGACGATTCTCAGACTCGCTGGTATTTTCCGCTAGAATCTAAAATATTTATTGACAATATATATATATATGTTCAGTCTAAAACGATTAACTCGTGAAAAATGGCATGAGTACAATCAGATTTATTTCGACAATAATATCATTGCGTATATAATTTACAAATTATTATTTTTTAATACAGCGATATTATATACGACCAAATATTGTGCAAAACATTTAGCAAAACTCAGGATCGAGAGAAGTATATTTTTCTCCACAATGGGTTATTAACATTATTGCTCGACATGCCAATATTCCTGAGTTAATTTTCATTATAGATGTTAGACTATTTAATAAATTGATTTTCGCTCCATGTACCTTAACTAAGAATTCATTGCATGTTTCGAAGTCGTAGAGTACTAACAAAATAATAATAATAAAATAACAAATGAAACAGCACACACAGTACACTCTTCCCCCAAATGCCCCTTTATGTAACACTATACGTTCTTAAAGAAACGTCGGTGCAGCTGCCGTGTTAAATAAAAAGCAAGTAAAGAAGCATACCTCTATTGTATGTATTGATTTAGACACAACACATTACTACAGCGACTGTATTTATACAGTCCGTATGAAGTAAAAGCACACGTCACTTTGTTCGAATGGATGACCGCCAGTAGGAAATTATTTTTAAGCCTACACAAATGGAAATGTTATCTGGTACAATAACCATGAATAGACACCTAATCAGTAGAATCAATGGTATCAGTGAAATACGTTCACGCAAGTAACGTACATAATCAATATGCACAGGATAATTCTTTTAATTATATATCAATATTTCAAGACGCGATCTTAGAGCTAAAAATAGGAGTATAATTTATTTATCGAATTATTATATATGTAATATTAAATGAAGTATTGACACATAATTAAGAATTATCTTATACTCAACTCCATGAAATAAATTAATTTTAAATATCAACTAATCAACATAATATTAAAAAATAACATCATAGCTACAGTTCTTCCAAACTTTTATAACAATCTGGGTATACTAGATTGTCTCAATTAAATTATAGCGAGTGACAGATACCAAGTATTTGAAGATATGCTGTTACGCTATGCCATTGAATAAATGAGACTCATATTGCAAAATTCTAACTAAATAGAAAATAAATTTTTATTTTCAAGTTTGTTTTATTTATCATAATGTGTAATACGGAATAAGGTTATTTCTTTTTGTCATATTTATCTACGTTTTATTTCGTTCTCTTTCTCGATATGAGGATGAAAATGACGGATACGATAAAGGCACTTTTAAAACCTGATGTACACACAACGTCAGTGCATTTTCATCTATACGATGAATTTACGTACGTAAGAACTCATAGATAATAGCTTTGAAAATTTTACAATTTTAACCAATGAATATAACGTTATTACATTAACCGATAATTTCCAAACTCGAAGGGAAATTTTCAAAAAAGTTCTTATAATTCCATAATCAATGTTCATTTGTACAAATGGTCACTACAATTTTCTGTTGTAGATGCAATATTTTTGCATCATCATCACCATGATTGTTACCTAATTTTTTATGGGCCATAGCTGTCTTACGCTTCTGCATTAGAGAACAACATCGGTTTTACAAATGCATGTATGCTATCACGAGATGTTACTTATTATAAAAAGATTAAAAACGTTAAACGCTTTTGTGTTACATAACAAAAACTAATAAACGTTCCAGAACGAAGCACAGCCACTATGCATGTTAGGTATTAAATAAACGCATGCTAAGATTGTTTCGAGTTGTTCGATGTTGTAGTAAAGTTCAGAATTCTAAATCATTTTCAATGAAATGAAATAAAAAAATAGAACGTACCGTTGCATATCTAACTACACAATCTTAATTTCTTCAAAGCTTTTCAATTGGTGTTTAATGCCACTAATACGATTCGCCATAAAAGATCGAAGATGTGATTATTCATGTAAACAGTGTTTCGTCGGATAAAAAATATATTCCCGTAAAGACGTGTATTATCATAAAACATAAACTTACATCGAAAATATACATCACTCTTTAGAATATACACGCGATATATGTTGTATAAAAATCTATAGTTTCTAAGATCTAGACAGACTATAACATAAGACACTTCCTCAAATAATAACGCTAGATCAAAAGAAAGAGAAACGGCTATGTACACGCGTATACAAAGAACTTAGTCCAGCTTATCAGAGACCAATGGAAATCTGACTATTCGCAATTGCCGACCGTAGTCGCAGACGACGCTGTCCCCCAGCGCCAACATTTGCTTCACGAAAATGCAGCTGTCTTTATGACCTAATCTTACTTCCCGCACTGGCTCACCCGTTCTTACATCCCAGACTACTAATGATCCCTGAAGCATTAATAATCAAATTCAGGTGAAGGCTTATTTTCATAATCGATAAGCATTTAAGAACCAGTTTCATACCTGATTGCTAGTTATGAGGAGATGATGCGTCAGCATCACTAATTGTAAGCTATAAGCTGCTTTGTGTGCCGGTAAGGTATGCAATAAGTGCCCTTGAAAGCGCTCCCAAACACACAGTTTTTCATCCGTTCCGATACTTATCACATAGGACACTGAGCATGTGATAGCGGCTACAGCACCATCGTGGGCTTGAATACTATACATGCACGCTCCTGCAAGAATATAACACAAACGAATTAGATCAGGAGACTTGTAATAATTACGATAAATTACCAGATATATTTGTCGAAATGGAGATGTTACCTGTCAAAAGATCCCACACACACAACAATCCATCTTGAGACCCACTGCCGGATGTCATGGGACTTATTCTATCAATAAAGAGGCACGATATCGGACCACAGTGTCCATGAAGCGTATACAGGGGCAGCTGATCTTCTAGCCTGGATAATATATGAAAAGTACATGAGCAACCTTTAGAAAAGGCAACCTGGACTGTACTAGACCGTAATTATTACCTGTACACTTTTAAAGTGTGATCCTGGCTGCCTGTTAATACGCGTCCACCTTCGCTATCTAAAACAGTGATCGCTTGTTGATGCGCTCTATAAGAGCTAATTTTCATGCAGCGCATGTCTTCCTCCGTTTGCATACTGTTATTTAGATCCATGGGCGAGCCGGCGCTTCCCGTTCGTACATGTGCTGAAACAGCAGGTCAATTAAACATACATTTATTTTAATGTAAAGAAAATAACTTTGCCATTTATATACAATATCGCGCAGAAATCAATTATGCCATTAAAGATCTTAAGGATCGTTTACTTCTTCTGTAAGACGTGAAGCCCCAATCAATTTGCTGGCCTTCGCTGTAACTCTCAAGTTGCAGAAAGTCTACAGCGCCGTTTAATTTAGCTGCTACTACTCTGCTACCGATGAGTTTCACGGCAGAAATTCCAAGTCCTGATCCATCATCGAAGAGACACTGAGTTAAAGGGGGGGAAAGAATTGTTGAATTACTTAATTTACATTCAACAGTATACATTCACTCAGATTATTCGCGTCTCACCTTGAATCTACCGGTCGTACCCTCCCAGAATTCTAAACTGCCGTTAGCACAGCCCACTACTATGAGATTTTCCTGATAATCCATGCACCAAATCGCCGATATAATGTGCGACGATTGTATCGTGCGATCGGTATTTATGGAGGACGTGCTGCCAACTAAAGTGTTCGATCTAGCAGCAAGAACGCCAAATTGTTCCCTGGTTGTAGACTTTTGCATCTCCTCGATGGACTTGTTGTGCTCCTCTAACAAGATTTTATATCGCTCTCCGAAGTCGAAGCCTTGATCATAATTCTTTTGCGAAGGCGTGTATTTTATAGTCGAAAATTTGGTGTTGATCGTCGGCTTAAGATCGGGAAGGTCGTAAGCACTGTCTAGGCTTCGACGTAACAGCAACTTCTGCTTACCGTCGCTACCGAGTTCATTGAGCTGGTAATCGTAATCTAACATGTTTCCCACGGATCGTCTTTTGTGGTTGTTGTTGTTGTTGCTGTTAACCCTTCGCATATTGTAAGCGGGAGACAACTTTCCCTGATACATCGCCGAGGCCGGTGAATAAAGTCCCATCGACTGTGCCGCTTCCATCTCTCCCCTGGAAGGTGGCGAACCGCTCTCGTAATCCGACATCAGCTCGTCGGCGTCCGGTGACGTTTGACTCAACGTTTTCTGCGGACCGCTGAAGAATTGCCGTCTATCGATATGCGCCAGTTGCTCGCCGGACGTCGAATCCCATATCCTGACGTGTCCCGCTAAACACGTGCTAGCGACGGTGTTACCGTCCGTCGCGATACATTCCACCTCCTGCGTGTGGCCTTCCAAGACCAGAGGTACTGCCTCCAGCACTAACTGAGTGACGAAGTCGTGCGTCTTTTCCTGCTGGTACCAGCTGGCGCGCCACTCCGCGTAATTCCTTGAGCAGATACAACGGTACAACACGACCATCGTATAAGCGACCACGATCACGCTGATAAGACACAGCACAGCGGCCAGAAATATCTCCATCGGACTCGATGGTACGAAAGGCGTATTCGTATTAAACACGCGTCCTTCCGGCCTGGACAGTACCTCCATATCTAAAAGCAATGGAAGAAAGTAAAAAAGGTTGGACGACTAACGTTTTCTAACTCTTTTTAACTGAAAGCTTCAAACCTGAAAAATCTAAAGGATCGAGCGCGGCGGTAGCGAGACTCTGCCACTGGAAGTGTTGAACGTCATTTGGATTGCTAATTTGTTTTGCTAATTGGGGACTCACTGCGTGCGATAACTTTATCGTCGGTAGTATAGTCACTCGGCCACCGGCAATCGACACGTTGTACATTGAGAGAATTGAAGACCAATGATATAATGACAAGCCTCTCCATGGCGGGAAATCCATGGGTCTTAGCCTGTTCAGTTCCTCCGTTGCATTATTAGTTAGATCCTAAAAAGATGTTTTCTTTTTAAATAATGGGCCACAAAAAATATGGAAATGCTTGGTTCGTTGGAAGTAAAGAGTTACCTGTTCGTGCAAATTATCCGGAGCCACCGTCGCGGGCGATATGGACATAGGTGTTGCCGTATTTAGCTCGACATAGTTGTTTAATGATTGAGGCTTGTCCACCGTATATCCATCAATGTCAGTCTCTGGCTTTAACGTCTCGCTAAGGTGTATTATGTGCTCGATGATACCAGAGTCGTTAATGGTCATGCTGATCCACACGACCATCCCCACCATAAATGCCCGCTGGAAGATTCGCGTCCGCGCCCAGAAATGCACCAGTCTCAAACGCTTCGGGATCTTGGCCAACGTGTGAGTATTTTGCGTGTTCGGAGCGATAACGTTCGTCGGCCCGGTCGACAGTCCGTTCAGCCTCGGATGAGACTTGGACCTGAATATATGAGGTTTCCGGTTGGTAATGGTAGTGGTAAACTGTTGTCTGCGCGATGCCTGGATGTGCGACAGGTGAAACTTGGAATTCTCGCTGGACAGCTCCGTTCGCCGGATGTCGATCGCCAGGATCGTTGAAAAGAACACCATTTGCAGGAAAAAGTCATTGAGCAATCCGACAATGGCGAATATGCAAAATTCCTGGATAGCGGGGACGAAAGTGAAGAGGCCGATGGTCAGGATCGTCACTTCCGTGAGTAGATTCTTCGTAATGGACCATCCCTCCTTGGACAGAGCCTGGGCGACACGTATTTTCACGTCCAGTTGGGCGGGCGTGCTGACGACGCTCTTGGTCAACACCTGAACGTTCTCGAGGCCGAAGATAATCACCAAGTACGGGAACACTTCCTTGGCGCTCATACTCAGCGTTAGACCGAAGAAGAAGCACACGCCCACGGTCATCGACAGCGAGCCCATCACTGTCACGCTGGCGCTAAATGCAATGCCAATCTTGGACTTTACCAGTTCGATTTTCCGCACTTGGAAGTACTCGTAGAAAAATAAGGCTAGGAAAGTCATCATCAGCGGGAAGAATTCACTGTAATTGAATTCACCGGGATAGAAAATGTTCAATACTTGGTCGCGCGGCTCAACGTCCGTGCTGTTGTCGGCATTTTGATGCAGTTGATAATAGGCTCTCAGTCGGTGCTGCAATCCTTTTACGAATCTACAAAATAAATAATGCAAGCGTTAATACGGTCGCAATAATGCATTGGAAACGTTGCGGATTGCACGAGAGACGCTCACTCCTGATCGTATTTCTTCAGGTAAATGGTTACGGCGTACTGGAGGATTCTCTGACGCACCCGAGCGGGATAGCGTTTCACTCCCGTCTCCTTCAAGCTCATCCCAAACATCACTTCTGCGAGACTTATCTTCCCTCTCTGAAGATTCTATAATCATAAAAATAGGAGCAAATTAACCATTTTTTTCCCCTACTCACTCTAAATAAGGATAACAAAGATAGAAACAGATTAACAAATTTTTCATGTCGCAGTAAAGATAAGATTAAGTTACCGCGCATAAAAAAAATGCTTCAGCTGTTGTGCTCCAACAAGAAAAAAGTATTATTCATTTGCGAGACTGCTTCACACAGAACCAGCGCAGTTACACGATCGTGCATTTACCTGATACGAAAATATTGTGTTAATGAGATTTGTGTCTTGGGCGAACAACTCTATACTTTGTTGCCAGAGGTTTGCAGGCGACAGAACGAGACAGTTGTACTCGGGCAAGACCTCGGCCTTCTTGCCGTTTCTCTTCTTCACCGCTTCAATGTGCAGGCACACCTGGCCCAGTGTTTTCAACCTGAAAGCAAAGTCACATTCTCATTCCAAGTAAACGGCGCCTACCAAAACAATAATTTCTGACTACACGTAAACGCCTCGAAGAGAAATTGGACATGTCCTCGTTCGAATGGTTTCACATCTGGTTCGTACACCAAGTCTTACGTTTCCGGGTGCTGATAGTTCTGTATGATCTCGAGGAGATTGAACACCTCGTACAGAGGCCCCCTGAAGGCGTCCATCAGCGTCAGGTCCTCGCCCCACGGCGTCACTCCGATCCTCAGCAGCACCTGCTGGACGTACAGCGCCGAGGTCTCCGAGCCGTTCGCCGGCAGGACAGTGTCGTTGATGAGGGTTTTCGGGGCATTGCCCGGCATGGGCAGATTGACAAGCGGATAGCTGCAACAGACCAGACCGGTTGGCGCGGTTTCGCAAACGCCGGGTCCGGCGGGCAACAACTCACCAGCATAACAGGAGAACCGATATCGCGAGCGAGAGCACGGCGATGGGATAGGAGGAGCAGAACAGGCCGTGGGCGTAGTAGAGCCCGGCCACCCTGTCCGGCAGGCTGCGAGACATCTCTCTCACCTACGCGCGACACCGTACGTGCGGCACCGACATCGACATCCCCCGACTGCAGGTCGCCGCGCCGCCCGTAACTGACCTAGCAACATCCAACAGCCACCCTAGTATCGATACGGCGAAGCGTGACACATGATACCGCGAAGGCGCCGCGGCGATAGGTTAGAGGGAGCAAAAAGGCGCCGCGTGTTTTTCATCGATTTATCGCCGTCATTACGCAACCGAGGCGTGTGCGTGCGTGTGCGCGTCGCGCCAGGCCGGGCAGATATACCTAATTCGCGGCGCCGTTTACGAAGGCAGAGGCGTCCGCGATAACGGGCGGCCCGTGCGGGCGCGAGACGCGTTTTCTCCCAACGCCCGCGCACCTCGAGGCTTACTTCATCGCCGACGCTGCCACGCGGGACGCTCGCGAGCCGTCCTGGACGACGACGACGACGGTGCGCAGTTCGGTCCCCCTTTACGGTTTACACCCCGCACGCGCGGAACGAGAGGAGAGAAAAACTACTACGCCGTCGCCGCGCGCGTGCCACGGTGCCACGGTCGCGGATTCGAGGTTATGTACGGCGCTCGTTTTTGCGGCGCATTAGAGGCCGCGTTAAAGACCGCCGCGCTACTTGGGAATCGATTCCGCGGCGCGCTTACACGAATCGCTGCGCCCGCACGTGCCGCGGGACGCGCGTCATCGCTCGCGTAACTCGCCGAGCGAGCGAGCCAGCGAGAGAGAGAGATAGAGAGAGAAAGCGGCAAGAATTCCGGGCGAGTAGGAACGGACGGGCCGATCGCGACGCGCGACAACGACGATGTTGACGATTCTTGGTTTCCCCTTACATTCCTCGCGCGCGATAAGCGCGGCACACGTCGCCTCGGGTCCCCGGCTTCGGGCGCCTCCGGAGTGCACTGGCCGTAGTGAGACTCGGCGCGAGCGTCGATTTATTTTAGAACCGAGGAGAGAGCCCAACCCCGGGCCGAGCCCCCGCCGCGTGGCCAATCGCCAGGTGCGTCGGCGAATGCACACGTGGCCGAGAAGGGATGGAGAGAGAGAGAGAACACGTTCCGTGACGTGGGCGAAAAGCGTCGCAGGCCGAGTCCGTCGCGTAACTGGCCGTGGCCGCGCGCGGTTCGTTAATCCGCGAGTTGATCGTATGCATAATCGAAAACTATCGGGCGAACGTCGTTCTCGCGGGGCAAGAGAAAAAGAAAAGGCGTCTGCGTGTTAACGCATTCAGCTCGTCAATGAAAGTTTTTCTCACTTTTCTCAGGCGTAAGCTCGCGGAAGGGCCGGGACATTTCATTGACGAATTCAGACAGACGTAGTAAACGTTGACGGAGCGTCCGATTGGATAAGCTGGAGCTTGCGAGGAGAGAGAGACAGAGGAGATTTGAGAAGACTTTGTTTCTTTGTGTCACCGTCGTGACGAGGGAGAATCACGCCTCTGTAGTTACTGCGCAGGCACGATTCTTTTCTTTCACGATGGTGCGCGACAGAGAAAGAGAGTCTAATCTTCTCTGTCTCCCTCTTTACAAGCTTCGGCTTGTTCAATGGGGCTACTACGTCTGTGAATTCAACATTTGTCGATGAACATTTTCTCGCTCTTGACGAGTTCACGCTTGGGGAGAGGATGATTGAGTGCGGTGTTGACGTTCTTGTATTCAATATGAATACCGATCTGAGTCTCGGGGGGGCGAACGGAACGATCGTGTGCGAGAATTCGGGGGAGACGGATAGAGAGAGGGAGAGAGAGAGAGAGAGAGAGGGGGGGAGGTGGGTAGGATTTCGTCCTCGGGAGAGATTAGGCGAGTTGAAAAAGAACTCTCGTGCGGAATTAACAGCAATTTTCACGGGAATTCAGGAAACACTCGTATGAATTTCGATGACACTCGGCGTGAATTACGGCAAACTTGATGGAAATCAGGATTTACGCACGGGGAGAATTTTTTTTATCCTGGAAATTGTGTAAGCGCGGGAGTTTCGAAGAATTTCATGAGGGCTCTTTCGAAACTTTACCGTACATTTCGCTAGTTAAATGCACAAAAGAGCGAGAACAAGTGTCCACCGGGCAGATGGCCCCATTTTTTTCGCACTCGATTTCGGTCGCAAAGTAGGTGCCACACGAAAGGTCCCGTCAAGCTGATTACGGATGTGTCAGTGTCAGAGTGTACCTATATCGAAGGAGAAAGGAAAAGTCAAGATGACGCCAATTTGATGTCATATTGATCAAAATATGACACAAATTTGGTCAATATGACATCAGATTGACGTCATCCTGACCTTTCATTTTCCTTGGGTATTTAACGTTCCTGGCCCGAGGAGAAGAAAAAGTGAGGATGATGTCAATTTGATGTCAAATTGACCAAATTTATGTAAAATTGTGGTCAATTTGATGCCATATTGAGCTAAAATTTGAAAATGCTCTCCCTGTAGCTGGAGAACACAACGTTAAGTCATAAAAGGACTCTTGTCATGATTAATAACAACAATTGACGAGAGATAAATGATACTTTCCACTTAATTATAACGAGAGCCCTCGTAGAATCTGACGATTGCAAAGTGTTCGGGAGTGTTCTCTTGTTATTTTTAGAATTGTTCAAGTCTATACTTTCCTGCCGCTATCTATTCATGAGGTCTCATGCATAACTAACAGCTTGAATGCCACCAATAAAGCTTAATTTTTCCGAGCGGCGCAGAGGTGTCTCGTAAACATAATTCAAGTTGCGAGACGTCGAGCTGCAAAAGGCTCGCGAGTTAAATGTCGGAGTAGACACGCTCAACGAGAGAAACGAGTATCAATTGAAAATATCACCTCGCGTTATGTCAATTTATGCTGCGTTCTCCCTAAAAGTCAATCGGCGCATTGTCGCTGAAAACGAACGTACTCTCCGAGGCCCGTATTTACCGTACAGTCGTTTCTCAATTCTCGTCTCTCAAGAGTGTATCAGCTGAGATAATCAGATTGGAGTTTGGTGGCTTGAGACACAGACGGCTCAATAGTTGCATTTTGATTAAAGATCAACCGTAACTGCATTCAACTGAAAAGGGGACCGATTACTCACCTGAAATTCCTCTTGAGAGTCAAAACATCGATTAAAGCGGCGATACGCAATTTTTCACGACTCGGATCTCAGATGATACGAAATCCAAGGACTATCTTCTAAAACTTCCTTCGGGAATCTCTGTTGAATCGAGATTACGGACAAATATCGAGTTGAGTCTCAAGATTCGCGTAGTAAACTGTATCGCGTCTGAAGACCGGTTTTAGCTGAGTTTTTCAGCAGAATCGCGATTATATTATAAATACGGGTCTAAAAGTCAATCAGTGCAATGGCACTGAATTATTCAGCGCGTACACGGAAAAGAAAATGTAGCCGCCGTAGCTGAAGAATGCGTGTGGTAACTAAATTTCAGCTGTACAGTATGGACAGCTGATATTTAGTTGTGACAGCTGAATATTTTACTGCTGCGCCTATTGCATTAGGTGCGACAGCAAACCGATTGCTTTGGAAACTTACAGTTATGGCAGCAACATATTTTCAGCAAACCATGATTAGCTACGGTAGCGGACAATTTTTTTTTAGTGTACTTATAACTGTGAATTAACGAAGATTCACTATTTTCCGCGATAATCCACTGTTTGACTTCTAGAGAGCGGAGAGAAAGTCTCCTATTATAAACTCCTAATTTGGGCTAGCGGGGTTTTTGCTAAATTAATAGTTTCATCGTGAATTTATCGCCCTTGGTATCTGTTTAATGGAAAATTCATTGTTAGATCGTGTAATCGTCGTGAATAAAGATTCGCGATTAAATTTTTACGTTGAAAACCTGCTATCTCACATTACAAGCTCGTCTCATAACAGAGGACTTGCCTCTCCGTTCGTTTTGCGAATTGTATTTTTCGCGAATGTGATATCTCCCGTTGAAACTGTCTTTCCGCGTACGCTTTAGTTTTTCCAGCTTGCTCTCCAAAGTTTTTGGAGCGAAAATAGAACCGCGGAGTGAAATATTCGCTCTATTGGAGTAAATAGTTCATTCTAATAGATCAAAGATTCGCTCGAATAGTGTGAACGTTTCACTCCAAAAACTTTAGAGGGTGCGAAGACAAAATTCAAAGAGGGACTTTAAGAGGGAGGTCCAGGCTAAAACCCCCTGGCTGGGGTAAATTTGTCGCAATAGGTTTCAAAATTAGAAATTTCATTTAGATACCAACGTCCTATCTTGGCTCTTCGAATTGTGATTTCACGTCGGAGCCTTGCGAGGTTTATCGTAACAATTAAATTTAAAATTCCTCGCGATTAAGAATGCCGCTATATGAGAACGTGTCTGCGCTCCTGTCTAGGCCCCTGCCGCATTTCGATTAACGATCTACACGTGGCGGTCGTGAAGAAAGCGCGAGGTCATCTTTATATACCTAGTTAACACCGCGCGTCGTTAATAATTCGGCTCGTTCCGTTTATATCTTGTCGTTCGATTGGCTTTAGCCGAGCACCGCTCCGTGAGGCCGCGGTCGACCGTCCCGCGCGCCTATTATCCTGCGATTGACATGTCTAATTGCATCAATTGCGTAATAAGTGGAAATTAGGCTGCTGCAAATGGCCAGCATCGTTCAGGGGTCAATCGTCTGCGAGCGCGCGGGCTCGCGTCCGACGCACGTGAGACGCGCTCCGCGGACAAATCGTGGGAGTTTCGGAAAAAAATTCACCACCACTTAACGCAATTGATATTAATGTAAGCTCGGCGTTATTGCGAATCGGTAACGTCGTTATTGTCCCTTTTTCACCGCTCAACGTGGTACCAACTTCCCGATTCTCCTCCTCGTTTCCCTTTTCATTGTTCAACTTTTGGTACCTTTTATTTTTCGCCATTAATAGCCGTGCGCGAACAATGGGTGAATACGTTTTGTGCAGATATGTACAAAACGGGGGGGGGGGGTTTGTTAAGGTTTTAAGGACTCTTAAAAGATTTTGAACTATTTAATATACTTATTTTCCCTTTCCGATCCATTGTTCCTTCTTTCTTCTGTATTCTATAATATTGGTGTTCTTATCTTACTTGCGTTTAAAAAATGTTATGCATAATAGTAAATGCATAACAAAGCGCATTTATTCATTTATTTATGTGTTTATTTACAACCTTTGTCGCACAACTTTTTTATTTGAAATTAAAATCAGGTAATATACGTAAACTTTGCTATTGTTTTAACATTTGGTTTAAAAAAAAGTGTATAAGTTTATTAACATTTATTCGTACACCGTATGGATAAATAAAATGGTGTATACTTAGAAAAAGAGGGAATAATTCTTAACGTAAAACGTAAATTGAAATGTATCGTAAAAATAAATCACTTGCAGTGATTTTCTTGTAGGCAAAATTCATCAGAGATTCGCATGTGGTTGAATATAATCTGGCCGGCGTGCCTGATAAAGTTATTGATAAAAAAATTGTGTCGCTTTTTGGCTCGACGACGAATTGCATTCCACTTTGTGCAAAAAGGGATTTCAATCTCTTACACCCGTCGATACCAGTCATGATTCTACATAATTGACGATAATTTTGATAAAAATTATGACGAACTGACGCACTCGATTAAGCAATTTTTACATCTTAATGTCTTAAAAGTTTTGGGAAACAGTAATAAATT